ACCATTCATACAGTCATTGTCCTATCGTTCGATAATTCACGATGCTTTGATATGAGCAGCCGAACACCAAAACAATAAATATCAGAAGACAAGTGATTTTATTTACCTGACCCCCCCCCCAACCACACCCACGACTAAGACAGGATACGATACAAGGAATAAGTTATCTATAACTATAATTCTCAAAATGTGTGGATATGTATGTGTGTGTGTGTGTGATCGGATGTTATTCATGCGTTTCCACAGTTTTCATCCGACTAGCGATAATTTTTTTTTGTTTTCCTTCGTTTTTTTTTGTGGGGGGGGGGGTCGATAGATAATTCTTCAGTGCCAATTTTGAGACGAAATTGGCAGGAAAAAAATTAAAACCTTGAAGGTGAAAAATCGAAAAAGACTGATTTTTTACACTTTGCGCAAAAATCAAAGGCAAAATTTAGTGTCTGTAAAAAACCAGCGTACAATCAATTTTGAGAGTTGAAATCTAACACAAAAAATTATTAGAATTATAAAAAAATTATTATAAATAAAAATTATTGTATATTATTATTATGACGGTCCATGGAAGAGGTTCCTTCCTTGCAAGATTGAGAACGCAAAAACGGCCTTTTCAGACCCACCATTCAAATTTTTACACTTGCCCATGTGGGGATTTACCTCAGTTGCACCCAATTGTTGTTACTAATATTGAATTTCGGGTGGTCTGACTTTAAATTTAAACTGCTCTAACTGAACGGCAAATATTCCCAGTAATGAAACACCCGGTCGGGTTATTCACTCCTGACAAAATTTAGAATATGATTTAAAATTCATACTTTATAAAAGTGCCTTCTTATAAATTAAATCACGTCGATACACTGGCGTGCAAAACTTTTGGGTCACCTTGGTAATTAATTACTTTTGCTAGTATTACACATTTTAAGCATAGTGACGCTGAAAAAAAGGCCATCCCAAAAATAGTTGGCCACTATCGTAAATTTCCCCTTTCAGTATTTTTATTAAAATAAAAAAGGAATTTTAGGAGAAAATGTAATCACTATCATTACAGAAATTACAAAACGTCAAAATTAGGCGATTTTCTAAGCGTAACTTAGATGTGGCACAAGGCCGAATGTATGGGACATCCAGTGAGAGTCGAACTCTCTATTCAGTCATAATTGTTCTAGCGATACAAGTCTGCTAGCCATTACTCCATGTCGAAGTGCCCCAAAGCATCCAAGTATAGTGTTAGTTTTGCAGCATTTGGCTCAAATAATTGCGATGTGGGTTTGAATGGAACAAGATCTACATTTATTATTCAAAATGCTCTTCGCATCTTGATTCCTATAAGTTTTGTTACAGACGCATCGCTTCGACCAATTACCATTTGATTATCTTCAGGTAGTATTGTTTTGCTGATATTTATTGATTATTCTGTTATTTTGTCCCTGTGATGCCTGTTCTTGTTCGTCCTTGCTGATCCCGTGTTGAAGTCTCGAATCAACAATTGAAAGCAACACAAGTGTAAGCAGCATCTATATCCATTATGCCATCGTTCCGAAGGACATTGTTGGTGTATAAAATTCAATGTCAGAAATCTGAAATCAAGAGAGCTATGCCTAGTTTAGTTTGGTTTGGCTTGGTTTATTTTGTTTTACGGCATATCAACATCTCAATCGTTCATTTAATGCTGACAATATTTTTAGGTTAGGTTCGTATGAATAGAATATATATTCTTTGTAAAAAATCAGTTTGTCGATCAGGTTTCACTAACATATTTTTGTAAAGAGGGTCTTTGTCGAGAGTCAAACTTATTGCTGGTAATATTTTTTTTCAAAAATATGTTGCTGGTATTTTTAGTATAAAAATCATTTTTTATAGTTTCATAGTGTTTTGAATCCAGTTTGGGGTTAACTATTTGCCGATAGCTGGGACCCTAACAGGTGCTACCATCCCGGCTCAGGGTAGACCTGGAAACAACAGAAATTACGAGGTGGTTCCACGCCCCGTCAAAAGCTCGCAATGCCGGATTTAGTTTATCGTCAACCCAGGATGGCCTAGTCTAGTATCAAAGAATTATTATTATTATTATTATAAAGAAACGTATTTGATATTTAAATATAGGTATCGATTAAATACCTTCCTATATAATTCATTTTTTCTTTAAAGCCGTGTCCCTTTAGGACTTTGGAGATCATAGCTCTCCACAGATTCCATATAGGATGTGACTCCCAAAATAACTTGGAAGCCTTATCCTTCATACTGAACCCCCAACTATGGTACTTTCCCTGCTACCCACTCATGAACAGAGATACACTTACCTAACTGATTATGGCAAGTGACAAATAAATCAGTGGCACTGAACGGGATATTTTAGCCCATCTTAATTCACCGTGTTAAAACATGCAGATGTAAACAACGCTAATAAATTAAGAACAGAGCCCATGAGTATTATTATTATAATTATTATTTCCTTTGGTTTCTGATGCATACTCATTTCTTTCCGGGTCCCGACCAGATACCTAAGTTCAAAAATAGCATCATGACATTTTCAACTGAGCAGTCTTGAAAAAAAAATAGCATATATTTTACATAGATAAAGCTCTTAGTAAGGTGTGGGCTGTATGTGTGAGTACATTTTTTTTATTTCTTTAAGGCATGGGCTACTAAGGATTCATTCAATTAGTCTAATGGCATCTTTTCCAATCTATCCGAGGGCTCCAACTACAACTGAAATTCCTTTTTTGAGATTTCAAGGTCCTTGTATTTTGATAGTTTTTGAAGATCTTCATTTATTATTATTATTATTATTACTTGATTTAGGTGGGTCAAATGGAAATTTTATATAGCATGTGCTAAAGGTGATTGGCATATTCAAAATAAAACAAAAACTTCAATAGCCCAGTAGATTAAAGCGTTGGTTCGTGTGTTTGGTGACACAGTAGTTGTGAGTTCAATCCCTGGGCAGAGCGGTGTGAACTTGAACTCAAGAAAAAAAAAAGGGCGAGCAATAACTAAGCAGTACTAAAAAAAAAAGTAGAAGAGATATCCCTAAGATGAGAAGTGGAACGAAAACAACCTACCGCCGTAGATTAAATAAAGTGTTCCTGAATCTTACCAGGATTGACACACATGTAATGAAAGCTGGGGAATACAACGACCGAAACGTTTTGATAATAACAAGGATGAGGACAAGTCCTCATGTAAATAACGTAAATAAAAAAAAAATCTTGTTTAATGAGAAGTCAATATAATTACATACTTGTGTACGGGAAAATTAATGACAAAAGGAAGAAAGATTTCATGGGATACTTTTCGTCTTTTTAGGGGCTTCGTCGGAATAAAGTGATTTTTTTTTATTGATGTCATTGCACATTCACAAGAAGTACACGGGGTGCTGAATATTCAGTTTTTAACTGTTTTTATGTGTTTGGGTATATAGTCGAGTCGATTTCATTTAATTTCTTTTTTTAATTGTTTATATTTTTATCAATTTTGTTATTAAATATCCCACATTGTAATAATAAATTTGCAAATGAAAGTGATATGTTGCAAGAACCTGGACCTAAATTTACTGTGGATGATCTAGCGATTAAAGCATTTTCTAAACACTTTCTTCTTAGTAAATACTAATGCAGTGAGCAGTTTTTTTTAAAGATCCCTTTTATGTTATAAACTTTTATTTAGATTTCTTAAGGTTTCTCCTATGTATTTCTTGTGGCAGTTATTACCACAATATATTAATGACGGAGTAAATTCCCCCATCAAGTTTTAGTTTATTGTTATTTTGTTTTGTATTCAGTCTTTTATTGTTTTAGAAGTAATTTTACAATTTTTACGTTAAGCTTAGATAAATTATTTTCAATTGTAGTTGTGATAAAGTTGGTGGGTAAAATAATATAATTTTATTCGTTGAGGTTTTCAGAACGATCCACTGTTTTATTTTGAAATATTTTAGAAGCCTTTTGATTCTTGTCGAATATGAAATAATTAGGGCTATTGGATGAGCTTAAAAGCATTTTCAATGTATCTCTCCTCTTCATATAAATATTGGGGACTACAAATTTCTTTACGTTCTTAAAAAGAATCCGATCATTATACAGTATTTTATTTGGTTGTTATCGGGATATTGTACATAAATATTCCGCCCCGTGAACAAAAACCATTAATTGAGCCACAGATGATTGTTTCGGTTAGCAAGGTCAATTTTACTGTTTTTAAACTTACAATTCTTCATGATTTTCACTCGTACATTCATATTAGCTCAACGCGTATCCAAATGTAAACAAATGACGTCACACATTATGAAATGGACAATGGCTCAATCGGTAAAAGCACGTCAGGTCATATGAAAGTTCCGTATAGGATACAGGTTCAATTCCTGTCGGAGAACGAATATTTTCTTTGAAAATTTCTCAAACATTCAGGCCGGTAAATGTCATTAATACTGTTTATTATAAACAGAGCATTTACTTAAATATTTGTATCTATAAAAAGAACGTATAAACATAAAAAAATGTCTAAAAAATCATTATATAAATAAACGTTTCTGAAATGTTTTCTTTTGACCAACTTTTCCTTGAATGTTTGGAAATTAAATTCTCAAAATCACAAGGATATTTCAATTTTCCTACTTAAAAAACATATTTTTGTTTATTGTTTTTATTGTTGCTTTTTCAAAATATCATTATTCATCCAAGAATTAATCGGATTTTTTGACCATACTGATTCGGCCGAGGTTGGATGAGAATGTTGAAAGAAACGGTATCAGTATTCATTGACTGAACAGTTAGCCTTAACTGTTAAACCTTTCTCTTAAAACAATTCTTTTTTTTTTTTTTTTTAGGAAAATAATTTCCTCGTGTCTACTGATATCGCTCTTTCTAGTACTGGTGGGGTTTATGTAGCGATTTTGCAAGCGTAGCTTAGATGTGGCACCTATTTGTAAGTAAGTGAATGTGACGAATTCGACAGGAATTTGAACTCTGCTCTTCGATTTCTCATTCCGAGGCATTATCCATTTATGGTATTCGCAAGCAGTCACCCATCTAGGTACTGACTAAACTCTACGTTACTTAACTTCGCTGATCGAATGAGAACCAGTGTTTCAACGTAATATATATATATGTGTGTGTGTGTGTGTGTAATTCGCAGACAGTACTGTTTCACTGTATCACAGCTCCTCAGTGAGACTAGAAAACCGAATGCCTCAAACCCGGATCGAAACCCAACCGATTTGGTGTCAATCAGAGCTTCTACCACAGAACGAGTCAGCCAAATGTAGCGTATTGTTTTTACAAACGCTAACAAACGCCAAGCAGCCATAGTGCTCCATTCATTTTACTCAAGAACTTCGAATTTACGCAGGTGACCGTTGCTTTTAGAATTAGCTTGTCACAACAGTGCTCAATTGAAAATATATTTTCAAGAGCTTCACTCAGTATAATTGCAGTATAAACCACAGGTGGACTCTGTGGATGTTGAAGAAACGCAAATTTCTCTGTGCAAGTGTCTCCAATTGAGTCACTATAGACTCCATATTCTCAAAAAAAAACGGATATATATAATGCATTTATATATATATATCCGTATTTTGGGTTGAAGCATAGATGTCCCTGAGTAGTCGCCTGCAACAGAGATTAGCTAGACACTCTAGCGGACTGGCATACTCGATATTAAGAAATCAGCCATTTGTGTGTTACTGAGAATGGAATCGACTATATGGTGCGCGTTGAACAAGCTTCATTACACAAAGTCTTTAGAACAGTATTTGTAGAACAAATTATACAAAAGTCTTTACTCCCCAACATTACATATGACTTTGCGTCAAATTTTCCCTTTGGGAAGAGTTGGAGCAATATGGACATTTTCTGGTTTGCACTACCTCAAAAAAAATAGAAGACAATGAGAGACGAGACACACGAAGAATATTGTAGAATGGATGTGGCGAAATATTCTTGCAGGAACTAGGGCAACAAAAAGAATTTTAAGAATTCTAACAACTTTTGGAATGCATGACAACACATTTGACAATTTCAATAAAAATGTCCGTATAAAAATTGTACGTCTTTGATATCGCTTTTAATCTCCGTAATCTTTTAATCTCAATTTTAACACTAATTCTCTACTTTTCTCTTTTGAACACCAGTGTGTACAATGACTTCTACAAGTGCGTCACTCCACAGCTTCCGACGTGTCAAGCTGACATCAAAATATTTTCCGATTTCATCACAACTACCATGACTGGAAGTCCATTTTACTGCGTAAATGGGACCCGAAAAGCACCATATGGTCAGGCCCTGATGCCTGTTGAGTTTGAAAGCGAAGAGAGTGAGTAATTTAAATTAATTTTTAATGATGTTCAGTTCTCCTATATGCCAGTGAATGCTGGATAAACCCATTACAGATGAAGTAGGAACTTGAGGCAACAGAAATGCGGTTCTACAAAAATATGCTGGGAATACCATGGATTGAATATGTGAGCGACGACCGGGTTTTACGGAGAAAATAGAACCGAAAAGGACACTTATACATTGAATCAGAAAGAGGCAGTTGAAAGTTCTAGAGCATATAATGAGGAAAGAGAGCTTGGAAAATTTGACACTTACAGGATATATTGAAGGCAAAGGGGATAAGGGAAAACAGTGAATAACCTATCTAACTAGCTTGTGTAAATTGGCAGAACAGGGATTAGGGAAGATAGGGAAAAAATAAAACTTACTAAGCGCTAGAAAAGACAGGAAGTTGGTGAGAACCATGATGGCTCACGTTCTAAATGGACACGTCATATTGAAGAAGAAAAATCAGCAAAAACTCCCACAAAAATCACAGAAGCCTGTTTGTTGATTTATTTTCATTGATAAATTTTCATAAGTTTCTTATAATTTTCTTTATTTTTTTTCTCAAGTTTTTGCTACTTTTAGTTGGTTTCTAAAATAGTTATTGTCGATATAAATCAATCCTTAACTTCATACGGGGATCTTCAAAGCTTGGCTTAGATGTGGCACAAGGCCGAAAGTATGGAGCACTCAGTGAGATTCGAACTCTCTACTCAGCCGTAATTGATCTAGCGAGACTAACTTGCTAAACATTACACCAAGTCTAAGTGCTAAATGATTTTCTAAGAGTAACTCAGATGTGGCACAAGGACGAATGTCTGGAGCACCCAGTAAGGATTAAAGTCAATACGCAGTCTTAATGGATCTAGAAAGACAAACTTGTTAACCATTACACTACGTCGAGATGCCCATATCTTTAAATTCTTATGAATAAGAAACAAAAATGGTGGTAGGTTGTTTCTCGTCAACCAAGTACATGTCACCTAATGACAAGATTCAGAAGTCGATCAGGTCCATCTTTATAACTATAATTTCTCTTCGGTAGGTTTTGGAAAAAAGAGTAATAAAAACATTTGACCTAAAATCAAACTTTCTTCTTCAAGACGTGGTCGATTATGGCTCACCACAGCTTCCTAGCTATCATAGCTCATAGCAACCTTTGTCTTTTTACCATCCTCCCGGGTCATGTTCTGCCATCCATTTACATAAGCTTGTTGCGTAGGTTACTTGATGTTTCCTTTGTCCATCTTGCTTTTAGTATGCCCTGTGTGTGCCAAATTCTCCAAACTATTTTTCTCATTATGTGTCTTGGAATGTCCAACTGCCTCTTACTGATTCTAAGCATTAATGTCGTTTTTGTTTCCATTTTCTTTAGAACACGCACGTTGCTCACATGCTGCGTCCATTGTATTCTCAGCATTATTTTGTAGAAAATTTTTACTGCCTGCAGTCTCCTCTTTATCAGCGAAGAAAGTATGCAGCATTCACTGCCATGTAAGAAGATTGATATTAGGGAGCAGTTAAGCGCCTTTTTCTTTGTTTCTAGCGAAAGTTTATTTCTTAATACCGTGTTTAGCTTTTGGGGAGCATTTTGCTATTCCAATATATTTCCAGATTAAGTTTCTGTACTTGCCTGATTTTGACATTTTCATTTTATAATTCGCATCTTGGATCGTACTTCTTGCTGAAAACCATACATTCTGTCTTCTTACAATTGATAGTCATTTCTTGCCACTTTCCTTTACTATTTTATCTAGCCGTTCCTGGAGGTTTGTTTTTTTCTGTGCCAGCGACCAGCACGGTGTCATCTGCATATCTGACGTCGTTAATAAAATAAATCCTGGTAGAATTTCTTTGGCATGAAATCAAGTTTATACACTTAGCATAAAATTATCGAGTAATTGAAACTTGTAAGATTGCTAGAATTCACGTAATTATCCCTGAAAGGTTCCTGGAGAGGGATGGGCTCCGTTAAATTAAAACGCCCAAAACACGCCACATGATGAGCAGACCAAGGAATCATTCGCGGAGACCCAAGATTTGACACACGAATATGACATATGAAGGAGAATGGTAGACATCTCATCACGTAGGCACACCAACGACTCCTTCCGGGTTTAAGGACGTAAGAAGAAAAAGAGGAAGAAGGTGAAGAAGATAAAGAAGTTGACAAGTTTAATGCGCATTTCCTTGTTTCCAAATACCCAGAATCTAATAGGATTTTCTTCTACGAACTCATTAGTTTACTATCATATATATATATATATATATATATATATATATATATATATATATATATATATATATATATATTGTGGAAATAAAAAAAAGGCAAGACAAGCTTTTTACCGTTCATGATTAAAAAAAAACAGCAGACTGGTTTCTCCCCATTCTACAGACCTGGAACCGAGAAATAAATGTTACAATACAAAATACAAAATACGAAATATATGTTATGCATTAATGGCGGAACAATCAGATTGAAATAACATCAAGACCCAACAGGCATTCCCTCTGTTTACAGAGGGAAGGCTATCTGGACCTGACATAAATCATTTCTGATGCTTGTAAGAAAGAATGAGCACGACTAAGGATGGTAAAAGAGTCGACGCTAAAATTGGTGACACAGTTTTGATTATTTATAAAATGCTCAGCAATGGCAGAACCATGTGTTGTTGACCATGTACCATTCCTAATTTTCCTAGGTACGTGTTGATGTATTCTCGTGTCTAACCGTTGGGTAGTTCTATCTATGTAGTCGGCTACGCAACTCCATCTAAATTGATAAATGACATTGTTGATATGATGAGATTAACAACCTTTTTACTTGTGTCCCTATTTCAGAAACAATTCATATATACACTGATTTTCTAAATTGTAGCCAGATATCTCCACCTGCTATTCCGGTAAATATATTTGCTGAGTTAATAAGATTTGCTGTTACGTCTGCGGAATTTAGTTTCAAAGACACAATGTATAAGCAAATTGATGGAGTCTCCATAGGTTCAGTTTTGAGACCAACTTTGGCAAATATTTTATCGGTTTCCATGAGAATCATCTATTTTCTGGAACTGCCAAACCGTTGACGTATCATCATTTTTTTTGATGACACGTTTTGCCTCTTTGGATCTAATGGAGGTTAAAGTTTTTTTTTCTCTTCATTTAATGATATGCATCCGGCATTAAATTATACAATGGAAATTGAGAGCGATTCCACTTTATTTTTTTGGGATGTTTTGGTAACAAGATCTCCATCGGGTTACATCACATTAATTTATCGCAAACCAGCCTTTACCGGGACTAAACATCCGGTGGGATGCATTCTGTTCCAAAAATGTAAAGAAAACTTAATCAGTAACACATTGAGCTCTAATGATTTGCTCAAAATCTAAATTAGATGACGAGCTAAAAACAATTGCCAAAATTTTAAAAATAGGTACCCATTAGATGTAATTAAGTCGGTTATGAATAAGAAAATCTCTAATTTTGCTAAACTTGAACCGAGTGCGACTACTAAGTGTCCTATTTATTTGCGTTTGCCTTAGATGGGTACAATAAATGAAAATTTGCCAATCAGATTAGCTCTGTAGTTTAAAATTGTTATATTTTGGCTAATGTATTGTGTTGTCTTTTCTACCAGGTCTGCATAGGTGTCAACCCGAAAGGACGTTCTACCCACCCACCCCCATCATATTAACAAAGTCATTTATCAATTTAGATGTAGAACTACCCAACGGCTAGACACGAGAATACATCAACACGTAAAATTAGGAA